GCCCAGGACGCGAGGTGGCGGCAGGTCGCGTTTGGCCCCAGGTAACGGGGGTCCGGCGGCGGTGCCCGGCGCCCGCCCTGGGGTCACTGAGGTGGCCGTGCGCGGGGTGGGGGGGGTTCCTGGGATGGCAGGGTCGGGAGGCCTCGGGGCGTGGGGGCGCGGTGTGGGACCGGAGGTTCTGGGATGAGCCCTCTGCCCGCAAGCTCATAGTAATTCACAGTCATCGTCGTGATCACAGCCTTGTAACCTCTAGTATTCAGGTCAGCACTGATGTGGGTGGCAGTGTTCTGGGGAGCTTTACGCCCTCAGCGTTCACAGAAATGACAAAGTTGGTTCTATGCTTAAACCCGCTTTATATCTGAGGAAGCACAGGCTTGGAGGTCAAGGGAGTTGAGAGCCGGTAAGTGGTAGAGCTGAGATTCAAATTTCACTCGGTCTGATTTCCACAGCTGGACTCACCAGCGACCCTGAAGCATACCCTGCTCTCTGCCCCGTTCGTGGTCCCAGTGAAGGCGTCTGTCAGGGAAAAGAAATTCAGCATTTTCCCTTGATTTGGAAGGTGAATCCCATGCCACCTTCCTCCCAGGATGTCAGTCTTCTGGGAAGCCCGAAAGGGTAGCCCCTGTTCTGATCCTCAGCTGCACCAAATTCTCTCCCGGCTTTGCGTAGGCTGTTCCCTCTGCCTGGACCAGCCCCTCAACGGGCTCCGCATCCTCTGGGCCACTCTTCTGACCAGTCTAGCTTACTCTGTACCATTGCCCATTCATTTCCTTCTTAGCACTTAATATTTGGTATTACATATTTTTATTGCTTTTGAAGATCCTGTCCTTTCAACTGATCTCTAAGCTCCAGGAAGGCAAGGGACTGTGTCTGGTTTTTCCTAACCCTGTATCCCCAATGCCTAGGATGGAGAAGCCAGAATTAAGAAATATGTTCTTTCTCAGGTACACTCATTTTTTGCTTTGTTTTATGCAGAATATTATTTATTGGCATGGCAGGCACTTTGATGGGCATTTTTAGGATGACACAAGATCATAGAAAGCCTTGTCAGACTGAGGAGTCTAAACTTTAGTCTATAGGCAGTCAGGAGCCCTTGGAGGTTTTTGAGGAGAGTGCTGTGATTAGAAAACTACTGATGTGCATCAGGAAGATTATTTTGACAATAGTGTTTAAGAGGAATGACAAAGCAGAGTCTGGAAGCCTAGTCCAGAGCCTTAGCCTTTAATGTGCCCAGAAATCACTGGAGATCCTGATTCAGTAGGTCTGGATGGGGCTGGAGATGATGCCTTTCTAATAATTTCTTAGGAGACACTAATGCCTCTGGTCTACAGACCACACTTGGAATAGCAAGGACCTTGAGGGCATTTGGACATTTTGTAAAAATCTAAGTGATGGCCAATGAGGGCCTGACTTAGGGCCCCGAAGTGGCCAGGGACAAGTGGCTGACCAGGCAAGTCTACAGATATTTGTTGACAGAAAAGAGAAGTAGATTTTGGAGAGTATTTTGGTCAGGAATTGCATTTTGATAATAGTAGCTCGAAAATGTACATGAGTTTGTTTTCTTCATAAAACAAGAAGTCTGGAGGTTAATAGTATTGAATTATTGGCTGTAAGTCTGAGTCTCTGAAAATCTTTTAGCCCTTTCCTCATGATCAGTAGGCTGCTGACACCCCAGCCATTCCCTCAGCATTCCAGGCAGAAAGAAGGAAAAGAAAAGAAGAGCAAAAGTGTCCTTGCCATCTAAGTGGGCCTCCTCTGAAGTGTTTTCTAGAAGGCCTACATGATAACAGACACATATTCACTGGGTACCACTATTAGCAAAGGATATTGGGGAGTGATTTCTTACTTTGATATTTTAGAGCCAGGCACATAGCCACAGGCAGTGAGTTCCAGCCTTGATGTGGACCTTAGCACTTGGGCTGCTTCTGCCCAGAGGAAGGGATGCCTTCTTTTAACGCACACAGAGATACCAACTCTGGTTCCTTTATGACACTGTTAAGGGCAGCCTGTGTTCGCTGAGCACTTGCTATGTGCCAGGCGGTGTGCTGAATACTTGACATGTGTTATCTCGTTTCATCATTCTAAGGGCCTTATGGGGTGGGTACTGTTACAATTTCCATTTTGCAGATGAGGCAGAGAGGTTAATTTGTTCAGGCTTTCACCAAAAGTAAGTGTGAGAGCTGGGATTGCAAGGCAGAAAGTCTGACTCTAGAAACCACGCTCACAACCACCATACGTATTGCCCCTTCACCATAACTGCAAAAAAAGGTGCTACCTTTGTAAAAACAAACAACCGAACACTACTGATGTTCACAGAATTAAAGCCGCTTCAAAGAGGGGAGAGATTTTCAAAAGCATCTCATCCAGTGCTTTCATTTTGTGAACTCATACATGGCTGAGTGGGCAGTAGAATCCAGGTCTTCTCACTCCTAGGTCAGTACCCTTCCCACTTAGATGAAATCTTCATATTATTTGTTTTAATGATCACTTGACATTTCGCTTCACCTCTTGGAATCTCAAATGTTCCCATTTACAAAAGGAGAAATTGGACCAAATGATTTCAGAGGGTCCTCACCTCTGAGGTTCACTTTGTATGTGAGAAAATGAAAGGTAAATGGTTATACAATCCCGAATGGGGAGAGATTTATTCTGCACAAAAAGACCCAAAAGGAGAGACATTAGCTCCTTATGATTTAGGTTTCTCTAAGTTTTCTCCATGGCTCAGTACCCTTCTCTTTGGGATTTGGGATTTGGTTTAGTCATCTTCTCAGGATCAAATAGCAGAAGCAGCAATAGAAAATGTATAAATCATGGCTCTCACAGCAGTTCTATGCCTGCTCCTTTCATTGTCACCATTTGTTCAGAAGATTAATACTTAAGGAAAAACTATTAACGTTTCATTGCCAGAATCAACTTATTTTCCCTTTATTGTTTCTAGGAAGCTTCACTGAAGAATTTAAAATAGTATCTTAGACACCAATTTGAGTGCTAGCATCTCACAGCATAACGGCTCGGTGGGATTCTTCCCTCTAAGAAAAATTGCTTCCTTTTGCACATAGCTATAAAAGTTGGGGTTCCCACCCCAAATTACTTCTGTTACTTCTTTGCTGCACATGTAGGTGATGTGAATGGTAATGGAAGTCTGCTGTTTGGAAGACTGGTTGACAGACCTTGACAGATTCAGTCAAGGCCACGGTCCCCATCATCACAGGAGCCAGTCTGGCTGATGTCTCCTGTCCAGCCTCAGGCTTCTGGCTGGTCATCTGCCAATGGGCATGTTGAGCAGCAAGTTAGAGAAGGTTGGTTTGACTTAGTCTCATCCCAACTCTTAGAAAACATGAGCCAAAATCTATGTCCAATGGATGCTGAGTTATCAAAGGATATTACTCAGATTGGCCTCTCCATGGGAGGGAGTCATAACTTCAGGACTGCAAATGGACTTGGAGTTAAATATACCTTAGTTCATATCCGAGTCCCATCAATTACTAACATGTATCCTTAGCCAAGTCCTTTACCTCCTCTGAACCTCTGAGCCTCAAAGGCCTTTTGCGAGGAAGATTCCATTAAATTTGATCCATTTACAAAAAAGAGTGTAACGCAAGGTGTGCACCCAGGTGGTGTGTAATAAATGGTAAATACATTTTTTGCTCTTACTAGACTGTAAATGCCTTGGCTAACCATGGCTTGATTGACTTTTATATTCTCAACCTAGCCTAGGAGGATGCCATACACACACACAGACACACATATATGTGTGTGTATATATATATATATATATATATATATATATGTCTCAATATTTGTGTGGCAGGTGTGAATGTCAGTCTATAAAATCAAGGGTGCCAGAAATATAACTGCTTCGTAGAAACTTAATTTCTGACTGAGTTGCCATTTTGCATCGATGGTGAAGAAAAACATGTAAACTTGGTGCTTCTGGGGTTTCATCAAGGACCTTTGCTTCTTTGGGATGTGCCATAATTCCAGGCTAGTGCCCAGATTGCCCAGCACACGGTCCTTCAGGGTAGTGTGTGCATGTGTATGGGAGGCCAGTGATGTTTGGTCAGTTGTTGCCATGTTTTTTTTGTCCTTATAAGCCATTGTGGTTTGGTGATTCTTAGCTGTCTCATGCCAGACTTGGGGTGTGAGAATAGGGGCTGAGGATGTATATCGTATTAGATGTCTCTCAGCTCTATGTCTGGGAAACGCAGTGCAGATCCCCTCTCTCAGTACCCTCTTGCTCCTCCCTTCTGCCTTCGTCTCTGGGGACTCCCTGTCTACTCCAGCATTGGGGAATCCTGTTCTTTCTGTTCTTCTGGGTAGTATAATTGGTCAGTTCTCCTGGGAAT